CATAAAACTGATTTAATTGATTAAATTTTGAATAAACTTTAATTTTTATTGGTCAAAATATTTACATTTGCAAAAAAATTTTCATTAAATGTTTGAATCAGTCGACATTTTAATCCTGTATAAAAAATTATCGTTCTGAATTACAAATTGACAAAATTTTAATCCTGAATTCAATTAAATTATCTAAATTTCTATATTGATCCAAAAGACTATTTATTCAGAAATAAATCTACTCAAATTTCTAATTCAATAATCCAAATTTAAATTCATTTTAATATTTGAAGTTATTTAAATGAATCAATTAAACTATTTAATTTTTCAAGATTTTAGGCGCTTTGAGTATCAGTTAATATATAATTTTATTTATCCAAATTTTAAACTACATTTAATGCGTCAATTAAATTAATGAAAAATTGTAATGAATTATTTTGATTACTTATTTACACAAAATATAAGTAAATATTTTTCCAAAATATTTTCGACTTATTTTAAAAAGGACCTTTTTTTGTCTTTTTTATCCTTTAAAATTAAGCTTAAAATGCATACTTATAATAAACAATTTAAACAAAATGCCGTTCCTTATTTCGAGATATTAATTAATGTTATTAAAATTGAAATATTTTACCCACAAATAAAGTTATCGTAATTTTGAACTTATCAATATAAAGCTTATGTAATTCCACATCCAACAACCCCTATATATAAAGTATTTTGGTTTATCGGATCATTAATAAACAATTGCAATAATAACTAATTGTTTATAAATAATCTACTAATCCAAACTACTTCATTTAGGGTTCGTTAGATGGGTAATTACATATAAGCTTCCGATTGATAAGTTTAGAATAACGGTAACTTAATTTATTTGTGAAATACTTTATTTTTTATAACCATTAATTAATAAATATTTCGAAAACAAAAAATGACATTTTGTTTAATTTGTTTATTAAAAGTATACATTTTAAGTTTTATTTTTAGGACTAAAAAAAATTCCCTTTTTTAAAAAAAATTGAAAATTATTTTTGAGTTTATGCGTTTATTTTTCGTGCAGGGCTTATAACTTCCGGACAGTGGACTGATAAGGAGACTGAAATATTAATTGAAGTGTATCCTGAAGTGACCGAAACTACGAAAGATACATTGAGTCCAGAGTTTTGGAAAAAGATCAGTGGTGTTTTGGCAAATAAAGGTTTACAAAAAACATGGGAATCATGCAAAGGAAAATGGAAGTCCTTATCTCGCACATACAGAACAAATTTGAGTAAAAAAAAGGAAACAGGGACAGGTCCTATTACTTGGCCTTTCTTTGAAAAAATGCATGAAATTTTTTATGATAAACCGGAAATTATTCCTGTATCTACAGCTTCGAGTATAGCAGGATATAAAAAAAAAATTGCGAAGGATATTGAGGATGTAGACGAATTGGTAATTCCTAAAAAAAAGAAAATAAAGAAACAGCCAGATTGGGTTGAAGATATGAGACAGGAAAATAGAGAGGACAGGAAACAAAGAAGAGAAGAATCAGCCGCACAACACCAAGAAAATATGGCAGCTAAAAATGATTTTCTTGATATTTTTAAAAGTTATGTGGGATTTTTAATGAAGAAAGGCGACGAAGAAAAGAAATAAAGGGGACTTCATTGCTTCAAAATATAGTCACTATCTATTTTTCTGTTACTAAATAATATCTTTTTCATACTTTCATGCATCTTGAATTTGATCGTTGCCCGTGTCTTTTTAATTTGGGTTTGTTTAAGTATGTAATACTTGATTCGCTGTTCATGGTGAAAAAAATGTTAAACCATTTAAAGGTATTGATTGTTATCAAAATAATTTGCTTTTTTTATAAATGTTTAATGCAATGCGTGCTGTGAGTATAGAGATTTGTTTATGTAGCAGTATATTTATTTTAATCATATTTTTGTTTTTCTATAATTTCGAATAGGAAATACTATTCTCGATATTCTGTCATGAAGACGGTCGTTTGCAACATTTAAATGTCTACTAGACATACTGCTTTATTTCTTAATTATTTTTTAATTTTCAACTTGATGTTTCTTTTTGTAATTTGTGAAGAATTTTTATTTTTATTGATATACGTCGCTGAAGTTACTAAACGAAAAAGATTTGTTCAAAACATTTCTCAATTATAGTGATACTATATTTAATAATAATTTATTATTAGTCGTTGTAAAAATCTTGTCAACAATTATTAGCACAGTATACTTACAATAAGAAAAAAATATATTTTTTCTAAAAGTGTATAAAATAGTCAGATATTAAAAAAAACTGTGATTGTTTCTTTATGAATGTTAAAGTATTATAAAAGCAATTTGTGCTGTGAGATTATGTACATACGTATATTACGATACGGATTTCTTTTAAATTTTACTATATTAAAATTCATGGATTCTAAAGGAAAACTTTTTATTTTTTAGAGTAAATGAAAAACACGTTATTCACAAAATGAATACTTATTAGAAATTTTGTAATGTTTTGTATGCTAATTTTCTTAATATTTTTTTAAATCAATAGTAAATGAAAAAATTTTATGTTTCAATGATAAATGATAATAACAATTTCAATATTTACAACTTGCAATTTTAAGAAGTTTATTTCTTATCTACATGTCAATTATAGTGTTTTTTGTTTATTCTTACGAATATTAAGTTTTTATTTAGCACCGATATAACTACCTTTTGTTTTTGATACTTTGTATGTTTTTCGTTCATAAAAAATGTGTATTCTCATTAACAATTTCTTAATCACTAGATTTATTTTTCAAAATAAATATAATAGCCCTCAGAGTACCAAATACTTCTAAATATCCTGCAGAAGTTCTTGGGATATTCGTCGCCTTCCAAAATTTTTTAAGAAATTGTTCTAAAATTCATTGAGACTGACTGAAATGAAAAAAATGTGATTATCTCTATGAATTTTAAACTGCACTAAATAGTAAGTTTTTTTATGATTAGGGACTTGTTTGTAAATTATACTAGTACTTCGTTTTTATTTAATAAGTTAAGGTAATTTATTATAATAAAAAGTTTCAGATCCTTTATAAACGTTCAATAAATAAATAGTTAAATATACTGCAATAAGAGATTGTTTTTATTTATTTAAGATTTATCTCAACTCATTCAATAAACTATGGACAATGATGTAACACACCGCACCGGATGAGAGTCGTCAGTCGTACAGTCGTCGCCGTATTATGATGAAGAAAAAAATTTAATTCAAGTAATTCAAATTATTTGGAAAATATTTACCTATTTCAAATATTTTTTGTTTGGATCCAAAAAATATCTATTTGATTTAAATAACTTGAATTATTTGAATCACAACGATACTGAAGTAAGCAACTTTTATGATAAACAATTTTTAAAGAAATCATTTTTTAAAATGAAATTTTTAAAAAAAAATTTGCCTGAAAATGTATGCACTTTAAAAATTAGGATTATTAAAAATTGTGCCACTAGTAGAAACTTTTCTAAACGTTTAACCATTTACTAAAAATTGAGTAAAAAAAGTTCAAATAATTACATTAAATAGTAATCCGCACAACTAAAGGATATCCTAAGAATATCATCAAGATATCTTGACATCAGAATATTCTGAAATCGTTCCAAGGATATCCAGAAATATCTTCAGGACATTCACAGGATGTCTAAAGATATTCACCAGATATCCAATGATATCCGGTGCTGTGAGGATATATTTTACTAAAAAGTATTGGAAGTTCTGAATATGTAATATGCATCATTAATCAATAGTTCACTAAAGTTACGATTTAATCCTTTAAGAAACAAAATGAAAATCTACGATTCTCATTTTATTACATTTAAAATTTGGGCATTTTTGAGGTCGCTGCTTACAAATCCGCAATCAATTTTTAAAAATTGTTTAAAATAACTCCTTAATACGAATGTGATGTTTATATTCAAAAATTCGAAATGGAGGATTTAATATGGCATACTATTTGTTTAAAATTAATTTTCAATTGTTGTCGGGAACCGTCACGGAACAATCGTTTGTCTTTTCGCTATTCGACATGATTAAGATATCGATATACGTATCGTATCGCAACCCGATCCCGATTACTAGTTAAGATACTAGTTTTAAATTAAATTTTTTTTAATGAGATTAATCTCATTTTAGATTAAGTTCCCTAGCCGAACTAAATTTGGATTGTTTTATATTGTTTGTGGATTATCTATTCAAAAATTCCGTATTATTTTTAAAAAACCTTTTTTGAACGAACTTAAATCGGATTACTACTGACCGATTTCATATAATTTTCGGACTATTCTGAATTGATTTCAAACTTGTCTTTCTGTTCGGACTGATTTCGGATTATATATGTTGTTTTATTCGCTGAGTAAGCCCTTGGTGTTGATTCCTGAAAAGCAACTGAGTGTTAAAAATAATACAGCAACTGTTCCGTTACTAAACGAAATGGAAAGAGGTCGTCCACTCATTACGTATAAGGTTCCTGAGAATTATATTAAATAAGAGAAAAAGAAGGACTTGAAAAACTCTTCAGTTATTACATAAAGGTGGGGGTTCGAAATTGATTTTCATCATCCTTACAAGTAATGAATAAACGACCCCCAAACCCTTCAAGGAAGATACATATATATATATATATATATATATATATATATATATATATGTTCCTTGAAGGTAAACCATCTTATTTATTCACAAGTTCAAGACATTTATCAACAATTTCTGACAAAACAATCTTAATACACCCATAAACATGTCTTAATTATATACAATGAAAGCTATAATCACACACACACACATATATGCTTGTACAAACAAATATTTACAAAGGATTGACATCATTATTTATTAACGACTTAAAAATACGTGAAAATTATGACGCGCATTAATTAACAATGTCTTACGTCACAATTTGAAGTTTAGATATTGCACCACTGCACTTTTAGATATACGCTTGAATTGTTTTAATATTTCTTCAACACTTATTCTAATCACTCGCGATTGATGTACAAAGCGTTTGCAATTGCATTACGCTTAATCTCGGCACTAAAACGTACATTATCTGGTTGCACTTCCGGGAGCGGAGCATCATCCCCATTATCATCAAACTGTTCATCAAGATCATCAACTTCAACATTAGGAATGTTATCTAGTTGGTCATTTAATGATATACAAATATTATGAAGACAGCAACAAGCGAGAATAATAAGAGATGCGTACTCGACATTTTGGAGGTATAAATATTTGAGTCTTCGAAAACGACCCAAAAGAAGGGCAAAAGTCCTCTCAATTATTTGACGCGTTCTAGCATGAAGCAGATTATAGTACCTTTGCACTCTTAGCAAATTACCATAATCTTTGTAAGGCGGCAACAAATTGAACAAGTTAGGGTATATTTTATCCCCCAAAATGTGCGTTTCTGCAGGGAAGTACTGATCGTAATTACGTCCACTCTCTTCTGCAATATCGCTCATCTGCCATACCCGTGCATCATTAACACTGCCGCAACAACCCGCATAAATGTGAATAAACTTCATTTTAGCATCACAAATTCCCTGCATGTTGATAGAAAAGTATCCTTTTCTATTTACGTAACTTGCAGAATTTTCGTGTGGTGCGCTAATTTGAATGTGGCAACCATCCACAACTCCGATAACACCTGGAAATCCTGCAAATGCCTGAAACTCTCGTGTGTTTCTTTCAACAGCTTCCCCTGTAGGCCATTGAATAAAATCCTGGACACGTGCACAAAGAGCAGACGCCACATCTAACATACATGTCCAAGCTGTCGATTGAGAAACACCAAATCGGTCAGCGATCGATCTATTAACAAAAACAATCGTCATATATAATAATTCTTACTTGGCCTGATTTATATTATATTTTTAGTCTCACAATATATGCATATACAAACCTATAGACCTCCTGATTAGAAAATGTCCAAATGGCGATTGCTAATTTCTTGGGGACCGGTACATTTAATTTTGGCGTACTTAAATCCTGAGCCAAAATGAGAGTTAATTCCTCAAAAGTTGTCCTCGTCATGCGAAAGTGAGATTGAAAATCTGTTAATGATTATATAAAAATAATTTTATAAAGTAAAAAGACACAGTAAAAAAGATTTTTTATAATATTGTGGATAAAATCTAAAAAAGTTTAGTAGAATTAGGTACTAGATACTTTTAGAGTTTATCCATAAAATTTAGCACATTTCACAAAACTCTATTTCAGAAAAAGCGTCCTAAAAAATTATGATTCATTCAGTAAATTTATTTTTCCCGTGTATAGTTAGTAATTATATATTTGCATTATATTTATTTATACCTGACAATGAAAATCTTGGAATGGTTTCTTCAAAATAGTTTTCATTCTTAGGATGTTCTTCTCTGTTGTTCTCTTTAGATATATGGAAACAAATAATGTCTTCTTCTTCTTCTTCGTTATCTTCATCTTCTTTATTAAAAATCATTTCATAAGCCGACAAAGCAATCATCGATAATTCGTCAACTTTATTTTTAACATAAAAGTTTTTTATTACAGAAAATACGTTTATTTGTGCATTATTAATATAATATTGTGTATATTGGAAAGGAAATACTTTTTGTTAAACATTTTTTTCTACATATTTTAAAAACAAATATTTGTATTTTTTAATTTTGCAGATATTTTTACCGTAAATAGAGATTTAATGATTTTGTATTTTGCAATATTTAGAATAATTTTCGCATTAATCAAGACATTCCAAAATCTGAAAGATTAAATATTGTTCAATACTTTTTTTTTAATCCTACAAAAATTTAAAAATGTTAAAGATTAAAAATTTTCTTAGATATTATTGCGTAAGACTCTTTTTTCTGAGCGTATAGATGCAAAAAGCTTGTATAAAAAAAAATTCTTTGAAAACCTATAAATTTTACAATTTTTTACCTGCAAGCTAGAAATCTGTATTCTAGTCTGTTTTTACAAGTACATTTTAATAAAAAATATAAAGCAAATAGACCTTAAAAATTATTAGATTACAAATTATTTTCTTAAAAAATATGTTTTGTTCAACAAAAAAATAATTTAGAAAAACAGATTCATAGTAAAAGTTACTTGCAAATTTTGCTATCTGATAATATATTTTCAAACATGTATACGATTATTCATTACGATAATCAAAATTTCGTTACAGGTACAAAATAAAAGTAAACAAACAATATTTGTAATTTCTTGATTATATTTTATAATCAATTTCTATTTTATATTAAAACAATAAAGTTTACATAAAAAAACATTTCCTTTTTTTTAACAATACAATAAACTAATTTACTAAATTAAGAAGCAAAATATTTAATTTTAAAAACATAAATGTTAATTGATTTAAGAAATTTTTAATTAGATTGACATATACATACCTTCAGCCATTTTTACCTTCGCCTTTTTCTTGTCTGTTAAATGAATAACAATAAAACAATAATTGCAATGGAAAGTTCAAAAACACACGTGTCAATGTTTATCGATTATTATAGGTTATGATATGACTCTTTCTGTTGACTCTTGCGAAAAAGCAGACGTAACTCTGAGTCGTCTGGTAATAATTATTTAGAGAATTTTATTTAAAATAGGGGAAAATATTTTATTTTTGATATTAATTTACTAGAACCTTAGGCAGGTTTCAAATGTTGTCGCTAACTTCAAATTCTGCCCCAATCAAAGTAAGGGATTTACGTTTTCCGCCACTTACCGAACGCAAATTGAAAATTCGAATTTCAAACTGATTGAGCACCCCTGTTAACTCTAGAGTTAACTCAGAGCTAATGCCGAAAACACCCTATATATCTGGAATGCTGTCTGCCATTGAAAGTCGCGAACCGAGAGAGAGGGCTGATTCCTGTATACCTCTCCTCTTGCTAAACTACGCAGGCGTAGTACAATACGTTCCAAAAGTTTATTGTTAACTGTGTTATGTCATGTTCACATATACATACTGTTAAATATTTTCTAATGGACCTGTACCGACAAAGAGGGGAATACAGGAATCAGACCTCTCTCTCGGCTCGCGACTTTCAATGGCAGACCATAGACATATAGAAGTGGACCGCTCACCACTGTGAAGAGACGGGATATGGATGAGAGAGAGAGAAAATATCAACTTATCCTATACTCTCTCCTTCTAGGTCTCCTTCTAGTACACTAAAAATTTATTCTTATTCAAATTTTTTATAAAAAATTAAAATATTTCAAAAATTTAAAACTTTAATATTTGTACTTATTTAAATTCTGTAAGAAAAAATTAAAAATGAAAATAGTTTAAAAAATTTAATAATTTAAAATTTTAATATTTGTACCTATTTAAATTTCTTTTTATAAAATTACTTTTCACCGAAAAAATTCCATATTTCTTTTTCTACATTTACAAAATTCAACCATGGGTCCACTGATTCCTTCAAACGTCCCTGCTTTAGAAAGAGAGAGTGTGGGATAAGTCGTTTCTTTATCTTTCTTACTTTTTTCCTTCCCGTCTTTCCACAGAGGTGAGCGGTCCATTTCTATATGTCTATGTGGCAGACAGCATTCCAGATATATAGAGTTCAGTGGTTATATGTCACATTTTGGACACTCGGTCGTGGAACCTGCCACTGTACTTTAATTCACTCTAGCCAAAAATTAGGTTATATGTACGGAAGCCTGTACGGCTCACGAGCATCTCGGACGCAAGTGGCGGTGTTTCGTACCACAAGTGGCACGAAGTCCGTCCAACTTGTGGCAAGTTCGTTAGTTCGTGCCACTTGTTGGACAGATTCCGTGCCACTTGTGGAAAGTTGACTTTTTGAAGGGTCATTCACAAATATGACAATTCCGTTGGATCCTGTTGCCGTCTATTTCGTCAGTGCTTTTCATTTCAATTTCATGTGAAGAAGCAAAAATGAATTTTATAAGATATTAGTAATATTAGCATATTAGTAAATGTCATCGAACAAACTTTTTATAGTTCACACATAAATACTCATTCCAAACATAAATATACATATTAATAAACTAAGGATTCCACTAAGAATTAAGCGGAAGTTTTTTCTTAGTTTTTTTAATTTTTCTTAGTTTAGAATAAAAATAAGATTTTTTGGTTATGTTGTCATTTTTTAATTTAAAATACATGAAGAGGATTTTATTTTTTAAAATCAAAAGTATATTTTTATGAATATTTAAGATTAATAAAGATGTCAATATCATTTGTTTACACTGAAATGTAATCTTTTACATGTATTTTCAATTAAAAAATAACAAATTCATTTTTATTCAAAAACATTAAACGGACTTGCGAGGATGAAATTATAGGGAGAGTCCAGAATAAGTGGTTTCTGACGAAATAGACGGCAACAGAATCCAACGGAATTGTCATATTTGTGAATGACCCTTCAAAAAATCCACTTTCCACAAGTGGCACGAACTAACGAACTTGCCACAAGTTGGACAGACTTCGTGCCACTTGTGGTACGAAACACCGCCACTTGCGTCCGAGACGCTCGTGAGCCGTACAGGCATCCGTATATATGTCAGAATTTAGAGGCTCGGTCGTGGAATCTGCCACTGTACTTTAATTCAGAGACTTGCCAAAAATTAGGTTATATGTCAGAATTTAGAGGCTCGGTTGCGGAATCTGCCACTATACTTTAATTCAGAGACTTGCCAAAAATTAGGTTATATGTCAGACTTTAGAGGCTCGGTCGTGGAACCTGCCACTTTACATCAATTTAAAGTTGGATATTATTTAGATTACATGTAAGATTTTAGAGGCTTAGTCGCGGAAGCAGCCAATATGAAACAATTTAAAGTTAGCCCACAATTCATATAGTCAACGAGATTAATATTCTCAGTCCTGACTAACAAAATAATCTATCCATTTTAATGCAAATGAGAGTCTTTAGGGTACGGTCACAGCTATGTATGCAAGTCGACAAGCAGTGATGGGTACGTATAATACATGACGTATAATACGTGGTTTTCTACGTGTATAATACTACGTATATTACGTGCCAAGTGTTCTACATGATGTATATTACATTTGATCACGTGATTTAAGAGCGGCAATTTTAAATTCTTCATTAAAATACATCATTCATTACTTTACACTATTGAAAGAGAAAGTTGTTAATATAAACAAAATTTAGGTAATTATTAATTATTTTAACAATTATAAAACAAAATTTTTAATTATTGAAATGTTTTTATATCGGTTTTATGTCTAAGTTGGTTTCACAGATAAGAGTGAACACCGGGCCACGTGCATAATAACATAACCTATATTCTAAGTATTATATTGTCAGTCTAGTCGTTTGGTATCTCCCAAAATAAACAATTTTTGAATAAAAACTTTATAAACAATAATAATTCCCATGGCAAACCCTCTTTAAAAGATTTTCTTTTACTTTTTCTGACCATTTCTATTTTATTTTAAGACTTTAATTTAAAATAATTTAAATAGAATGATAAGAAAAATTCGTTTTTTCAAAAATCAGAGGATCATATATAGATGTCAAAATGTCAGTGGTTTTCTACATGATTTTATACATTTTATACGTATATTACGTCGAAAACGTATTATACGTACAAAACTTCGTGTGACGCGTCACAACCCATCACTGTCCACTACTCAAATCTCTCTTATAGAAATAGACATTCTTTAAACCAATGTAACTTTCGATGTAAGTGAGATAAGTCAGTTTTTTCAATTTGAAACTATTCAAGATTAAACCTTCTTATACGTATTATATTATGGAATTGAGATGAAGTTCTGCGAAAACAATTTTACCAAATAATCTAGACCTAATGTTAAATTTTAACTATTTATCCATTAAATTTAAAATTCAAATGACCATATTTTTGTAACGGTAATAGATAGAAGAGTTTTTTTTTAATTTACAGGAAATTTTATGTACTTTAATTCACTTCTACATGACTTTATTGAAATAACGTTAAATAAAGGAGTAAAGTTTAAAAAATTAGAAAAATTTCAGTTTTTTCGACTATTTTTAAACATTTTCTTAATTCTATGTATCAAAATGGTTTAATTATTATATATAATCTATTTTTATGTTAAATTGTAGCTTTTGAAGCAATAAGTATTTTACCAAACGGTATTTTAATGAAAATATCTTCAATAACCTAGAAAAAAAATTTAAAAATCAATATAATTTGAGTTTCCCTCCAACGATTATTTTAATTTTCGTCTTAAAATGATCGTGAGGCATCACCGAACTGATATAAAAAAAAACCTGAGAAGGGTCATGCAGTTTAGGTTGAACCTAAACGAAGCTCACCGTGTGTCGACAAGGTAACGTAAAAGAGTGAGAGTGATAGGGAAATTTTGTAACTCTCTTATTCTTGTACGTTACCATGGCAACCAGCAAGCATAAGCCATTTGGCTATTTTATAAAATAGCCTAAATTCCAAATGCATTTTTCTTCGCTAAGCCAAAAAGTCGAAAATTTTTTTTTTAAAAGTCCAAAACAAATAATATTGGGAAAGAAATGTTGCTGTTTTCAAAGAAGGTGTCCAAACAGAAGGATAGCATTTATGCAGTTACCTGCAATTTAAACCCATAATATTTTTAATATGTGATAAAAATATATCACTCCATAAATATAATTTCATAAAACATTTAAATGACAAGATATTATATGTAATGTGAATTAAACATATAAATATGTAATAATATGAAAAATATTTTATGCTAAATTACAAATTATTCTTTGTAAGAAATATCGTAGCCATATTATTGATGATTAGAAAGACATAATAACTATAATGTATATTTTATATACATGTTATGAACTTAAATTCAAAATAGACGTACCAGCCATGAAAGTTAAAATAATGATATTAATTATGTATTTCATAAATTTTTTAATTAATCAGTTAATAAAACGTAAATTCATCACCGTTAAAATTTGCGCCAATGTTTTTTTCGATAGTTCAATTTGCAATAATGCTTAATGACATAGTGTTGCAGAAGTACCATTATATGACATACTTTAAAAACTCGGTCGTGGAACCTGCCACTGTATTTTAATTCAGACTTGCCTAAAATTAGGTTATATGTCAGACTTTGGAGACTCGGTCGTGGAACCTGCCAATTTACATCAAATTAAAGTTAAAGATTATTTAGGTCATATGTCAGATTTTAGAAGCTCGGTCGCGGAACCTGTAAAAATACGATTTCAATCTAACGGTTAATTCACAATACATATAATCAACTAAGTTAATATTTTTACTTGACAATAGATTGCAAATGGGTTTTACAAAATATCCAAAATTCCAAATACTTCTTTCTTCGATAAACCAAAAAGTCGAAAATTAATTTCATAAAATAGCAAAAAACAAATAATATATCAAATAACAGTTATTTATTCGAACATATGACATTT